AATATACTGATAGAAGTTGTGCAGAAGAAGATCTGAGTTGCTGTTAATATAAGTCTGTTAAAGAAATTGGAAGATGTAGAATTAGGACTATTGAATTAATGAGAATTTCTCTAGAAGATCTGTGAAGGAATTGATGTTCTACGATGAGCTGATCTGAAAATAGTGAAGCAGAATTTCAATTTCTGTTCGGTATCAACGTTAAATAGAGATGTTTAACAAAATTTTAATAGATACAGTAAGATTTCGTCACCAGTTCAAAAGTTGAAGAAAGAAGATTACTAACAAATTTCGTAGATGATCTAGAATATTCTAAAAATAAGCAATATTGTCCCATTGAAGATGTATACTGTTAAGGTAGGCTTTAAATGTGAAAGTTTCGATGGATTTAAAAAAACAATGATAAAATTTCGGAAACACCAACAAGGGGAGAAAAACGTATTCAAGAAACAGAGAATACATGAGCTCTCAAGGAAGTTTGAAAACTGGAAAAAATGTTGGTAAAAGACTGAAGAAGGCAATAGAATTGGGCCTCAAAGAGAGAATTGTCATAGCTCAGTAGTCCAAATTTGGAGAAAGTTCTGCATAGATCATTCTGAAAACACTGGCTTTACTACAAAGTGTCCAAGAAAGGTTTTCCAAAGTTAAAAAAAATACTGGTAGAAGTAGTATAGAAGAAAATCTGAGTCACAAATAATGTAAGTCTGTTAGAGAAATTGGAAAAGGTAGAATTAGAACAATTTGATTAATATAATCTAAATGTTTTAAAAATAAGCAATATTGTCCTGTGGAAGTTTGACAACATTCTAACAGATACAAGAAGATTTCCTATACAGTACAAAAATTGAAGAAAGGAGATTATTAATAAATTACGTGGATTATCTAGAAGATTCTAAAAGTAAGAAACATGGTCCTGTGAAAGAGAGAAACACTGGGTTCATTTAGAAGTTCTGAGGGAAGGAAAAAAATTACCCTGGACAAAATTCTGGCCTTTGAAAAAAATAGTTTAAAATACATATAAGCAGGATTACCCGAATGTTAAATTCATATTCTTGGATGATACAATATCTACAATTTTATAAACCGAGCGATTTTGACGAAACTGTAAGTGCAAAAATCAGTCTTATCTTATCAAATATTAGCCCCGCCCACCCGCCCTCTGCTTTCTTAGAAAGTACATCCTTTACAAAATCAGTTTTATCTTAGCAAGTATTATTTCAAGAGAGGTTTTAAATCGGAAAGTTTACATTGGATTGAAACAAGTTTTTATTAAATTTCGAAAATGCGTAGTAGGAAGGAGAGAAAATTCTGGAAATGGAGTTCATGAAAACTGAAAAAATTCTGATAGAAAACCAAAAACGGGAATAGAATTGGGCCTCAAAGAGAGAAATGTTGTCGTAGACCTGTTGTCCAAAAATGAAGAAAGTTATGGAGAATCGATTTTGAAAGAAGTGGCTTAATTATATATAAATAAAGTGTCAAAAATTTTACTAGTAGAAGTAGTTCCAGAAGAAGATCTAAGTTATGGTTAATAGGTAAGTCTGTTGGAGAAAATGGAAGATGTAGAATTCGACCAAGTGAATTAATGACGATCTGACTAGAAGATGTAGGAAACAATTGATGTTCTATGAGAAGTTTATATGAATAAACAGTACAGTAGAATTTTCATTTTGGTTCGGTACTAACGTTACAAAGAGAAGTTTGGCAAAATTCTAAAAAATACAGAAAGATGTCGTCTCCGGTACAAACTCTGAAAAAAAAAACATAACTAAAAAGTTCATGGATGATCTAGAACATTTTAATAAGACGAAATATTATCTTGTGGAAGATATACAGTTATTATCAGGAGACATATTAAACTGGAAAGAAGCACTGATAAAATTTCGGTAATGTCTATTAGGAAATGGAGAAAATTTTAGAAGAAGAAATGAAGAAAAAGTGAATATGGGGGTTTCGAAGAAATTTAAAAACAACTGGAAAATGGAATAATTTTGGTAGAAGACTAAAAAGCTAAAAAGAATTGGGCCTCAAAGACAGAATTGGTGTCGTAGATTAGTTGTCCAAAGATGAAGAAAGTTCTGGAAACTTTATAGTTTATTTTGATAACATTGGCTTAACTGGAAACAAAGTGTAGACGAAGGACTTTAAAAAAGATCGAAAAAAGTTTACAGGTAGAAGTAGTACACAAGACGATCTGAGTTACTGTTAATATAAATCTATTAGAGAAATTGGAAGACGTAGAATTAGAAAAAGTGGACTAATGAGCATCTGACTAGAAGATATAGGAAATGATTGATGTTCTACTAGAAGTTTATTTGAATAAGTAGTGAAGTAGAATTTTAATTTCGGTTCGGTACTAACACGAAAAAGGGAAGTTTGCCAAAATTCTAAAAGGTACAGGAATATTCTCCAGTATAAAAGTTGTAGAAAAATAATCACTAACAAAGTTCGTGTATGATCTAGAATATTATAATAAGTAGAACTATTGTCTTGTGGAATATATATAGTTATCGTCAAGAGACGTTTTATATATATATATATATATATATATATATAATCAACTCCCATCTACCTTTCGGTGTAGGGTTACAAACTAAATAAATACATTGTAATTAAATTAATATTAATAGGTATTCCACTCTTCCCCGTGCACAAATTTACCCCACTCTTTCTTATTTCTTGTCATTTCTTTCGCTTCTATCCATGTTTTCCCTCTCTTGCGTAGACTTTTTTGTATTGTGTTGTTCCATGTCTCTTGGGGTCTTCCTCTGCTTCTTCTTCCTTGAACTTTTGCTTGCCATACTTGTTTAGCGGCTCTATCTGCATTCATTCTCTGTACATGTCCCCACCAACTTAATTGTTTGTTTTCTATTGCGTCCATCAGTTTTTTGCTTTGTAATTGTTCTCTTATTTGGCTACTTCTTATATGATCTCTTAACGTTACTCCTATGACTCGTCTTAGATATTTCATTTCGTTCGCTTCTAGTCTGCTTTTCATTTTTTGTGATAAAACCCACGTCTCGCATCCATACGTTAAAGTAGGTAGGTATATCGTTTTATATACACTCATTTTCGTTTTCTGGCTTATTTCCCTTTTGTTCAAGAGACGTTTTAAATATAGTAAAAGTTTCCGTGGATTTGAAAAAGGCATTGATAAAATTTCGGAAATGCCTGTTAGGAAGAGGAAAAAAGTTTATGTTTAGAGCAATTTTAATCTAGATGTCTAGAGATTGTCATTTCTTCGAATTCTAGCCCCATAATCTTTGTTTTTTTTTTTTCAGTTTGTGCATATTGCTTTTACAATTTTCTTTTTTATATTCAATTGATGTTATTGCAACATTTCCTAATTAAGATTATCACATAGGCTGTGTATTCGATAAAATTCTTATTCTACACGAAGGATGGGTGTTGCTTAAAAAAAAATAAATCACATGTCAATTAATTGTAATAAAACACGTTTACGAGCTAGACAACCAATAATTCAGGATTTAATAAAATCATTTATTGTTTTTAAAATGCGGCAAATATCGAAGTCACTTTTGACAACTTTTCCACAACACACTTGATCTATAAACATTTACAGACACACTGTATAATGTATAGGGTGAGTCACTAAGCCCACAGTCTTCGGTATCTTATCAATTGTTAGAGATTAAAAAAATAAAGACTGAAGTTACAAAGTTCCTTGAGTAGCAGTCTAGTCTGAGTAATATTTCATTCCCGTCAAAGTATTCAGAAATAAATATCAGAATCAACTGGCACACTACAACCCTGAAAATTCGCCCCGTCAAACGCAATATTCTTAGGAGGCTTATCCTTTAAAAGAGGAACGAAAACTCACTTACGCCACCGGCAACGATTTCTTTCGTGGAGAAAATTCAACAAGCTTCATTCGAAATAACACGAGTGACACGAATAAGAAGTTAGGGCGATGAAATAGGGCTACCTGTTGAGGACAGCAAATAAAGCGCAAGCTCGGAGTGAACTAAAAAAATTGTTACTATTAGGTACCCAGCAGAATTTAAATACAGCAAAACCCTTGTAAATTTTTATAAGACTTAAATATGACTCTTGGAGCGACTACGTTTTTTATATTTGTTTGTCGTGCCCTTATTTTTTGCACTGTAAGTATGACAAACATTGCCAGATAAACTGCTTCTTTGTTTGGATTTGAATGATGGGCAGTAAAAAATACTTTAGTATCGGAGTGCTATCAAAGATCTTGGAACAACAGTGATAACAAAAGTTTATTTACACTAGCCAGAAACAACGATCGAGGATAGGCGGACAGTAACTTAAGATCAATAAAAGGACCAAGATAAAAAAAAAAGGAGGGAGTTAAGTGAAACTAGAACTGGGTGTATTTATGTCGACAGTAAAATTTAGTTTAGAACATCCGGAAAACCGGGAATACATATATACAAGGCGTCTAACGTTATAGATATTTAGTCCTACAGTCAGTGCACTCTATCTCCATTATTTAAAACCCGGAACTTTTCCTCCTTCTAAGAGCCAAGTATTCCCAGAGCTCCCGTCCATCCCTTAGAAATTTTATTACTTGCATAATACCTAATAACTCTGTAAAGAGCATTTCCATATATTTTCTCGACGTTTATAACCCACTTTCTGCAACCGTGCAACTTTCAAAATCCATTAATACTAGCAAAGCTCCGTAAATTAACCCCATTAAACGCGCAAAAACCGCGACATAATCGACGCGTCAACTTCGCAAAATATCTTAAGCACAACCCTATTTTCATTTTAAATAATCACCTACCCCTGATGTAGCGTTGGCATAAATCGCGAAACTAATTAAGCGTATCACAATCACGTTTCGGAAAACCACATGTAAAACGCGTAATAGGTTATTTATAGCCCTAGAGCGATAAATCGGCTATTAGGAAACCCGAACGAACCCTACATACATCTTGCTCATTATAAAATTAAAATTTAATTATTAAATTCACCCCTTTGCGACCCTATCACAAAGCGCTCGTACTTACCACACCGATGCATACCGCGGAATCTTGACAGTTCCTAAACGGCACTTCCGTCAAAGCTCACTTCTTTGTTCTTGGTAGTTTTCCTTCCTCAGCTGCAAAAACCGCCCTTGTCTAGCTGCATTTCCGAACGAAGTATCAAGGAATTCTTCACCCCCATTTCGTTCAGTTCGTTCTTATTTGATGTGTCTAGATTTATCAAGTTGGATTCTTGGATGTTTCTTTTGGCGATGGTGTTTTTTCGGTAGATGCTCTGATTTTCGATCGTCGTGCCCTGCAATAAGCAATAAAAGTCCCATCGCGACAGGGTAATGATGATTTGATGGGTTAGTGTGTATGTTTATGGTTTAAGTTGGGGTGTTATTGAAACGGGGATGTTTACACCGTGAGAGCGAAAATAAAATGAAACAGACTAGGGTGAGGACACGTTTTTGGATTGGTAACACTGACATTTCAATTTATTTTTGTAAGGTTGAAATAAAATTGACAACTACAAGGGAATCTGTGATTACCTAGAGAAATCACAACCCCACTTTGAGTAAATAAAGATCTAAAGCCCCATTATAACCCACTAGTATTTAAACTGTTAGAACAAGCTTTAAAAACGTCAAAAAAAAGAATCAATAAAGAGTTATAGTCGCAAATGGCTACTACGTGCAAAAATTTGTCTTAATTTTCGTTTAGTAATGGCGTGAATGCGGGCATTCATTTCACTTAAACTATAATTTTATTCTCTTAGTAAATAATGTTGAAAGCTTCTACAAACAGCCGCGTGTTTAGCATTTGTTGGCCAACTCGGCAAACTCAATTTCATTATAAAAACAAAGAAAAATTGCCCCGAAATGGAGAAGAACCCAACACAAATTGACAATGAGCTTTGGGGTTTCTTTCTTTGTGGCATTTTCTGAAGGGGAAAATGCGAAAGTGCTAACGGCGTTCGCAAAAATTAATTATTTTGTTTGGTTTAGTGCGAAATTATCGTTGGCTGCTAATTACACAATTTTTCGAATTGCGGTTCCGCCTGTGGTGGATTTTTAATTGGGGGTAGACGTTATATTATGTTTTAGCGTTTCAATGGGTTTGAAATAAATGGACTACGTTACATTAGTAAATGTTATTAAATACTACGAGTATAAAATAAGATACTTCTCCACTTGTGTTCATTTTTTGAAAAAAAAAAAAAATTTTTTTGATTTGCAATTTTTCATTTTTTGTTGTTACTTCAATTTTACGACGTGCAACTCTTCGAATTTTCTTATTCTTCGATTCTTCGAATTTTTTAATCTTCAATTTTTCGATTTTTCAGGTTTTTGATTTTTCAGTTTTTCTATTTATTAAAGTTTCAAATTTTCGACTTCGATTTGTTGATTTCTCAATCCTTTCATGTTTCGTTTCTCGATGTTTCAGTTTGTCATTTTTTATCGATTTTTTGGTTCTTCGACTTTTTGATTTTTCAATTCATCAATTTTCGATTTTTCAGAATTCTGATTTTCGAATTTATCATTTTTTTCAAATTTTTAATTATTCGATTTTTCAATTTTTCTTCGATTTTTCAATTTTTCCAAATTGCAGTTTTGGGATTTTACTTTTTGGATTCCCCAATTTTTAGATTTTTCTATTTATTGATTATTCTATTAGATTTTAGATTTTCAAAATTTTGGATTCGGTAATTTTCGATTTTCAAAACTTTCAATTTTTCGATTTCTTGATTTTTCAGTTCTTCGGTATTTTTGTTTTTCAATCTGTCAGTTTTTTAAATTTTAGTTTTTTCAGTTTTTTGAGGTTTCGATTTTTCGCTTTTTGTTTTTAGGTTTTGCTTTTTTCAATTTTTATATTTTCAATTATTCAATTTTTCGATTTTTCAGTTTTCCGATTTTTCGAGATTCTGATTTTTCCAATTTATCAATTTTTTCAAATTTTCAATTTTTCGATCTAGGATTTTCGACTTGTCAATTTCTGGGTTTTCTAATTTTTAGATTTCTCAGTTTTTCGATATTTCAATTTTGGAATTTTTCAATTTTCCGAGTTCTCAATTTTTCGATGTTTCAGTTTTGGGATTTTTCAATTTTTCGATTCTTCGATTAATCTTCGATTTTTCAGATTTTCGATATTTCAATTTTGGAATTTTTAGTATTTCGATCCTTCAATTTTTCGATTTTTAAATTTTATATTTTTCATTTTTCCGATTTTTAAATTTTATATTTTCCATTTTTTCGATTTTTAAATATTAGATTTTTCAGTTTATTGATGCTTCGATTTCTCGATCTTTTGATTTTTCAACTTTTCAGTCGTAGATTTTTCAGTTTCCAATTACTCGATTTTTAAAATCGTGAATTTTTCGATTTTTTGATGTTTTGATTTCTCGGATTTTCAAATTTTCGATTTTAAAAATTTTTAATTTTTCGATTTCTCGATTTATCAGTTCTTCGGTATTTCTACACATTTTTTAATTTATCAGATTTTTTTAATTTTACCTTTGTCAGTTTTTTTGAAGCTTTGATTTCTATATCATTCGATTTTGAGCTTTTTGGTTTTAAATTTTTCGGTTTTTCAACTTTTCTATTTTCAAGTCTTCAATTTTTCGATTTTTTAGTTTTCCGATTTTTCGGGATTCTGATTTTTCCAATTTATCAATTTTTTTAAATTTTCAATTTTTCGATCTAGGATTTTCAACTTGTCGGTTTCTGGATTTTCTAATTTTTAGATTTATCAGTTTTTCAATGTTTCAGTTGTGGAATTTTCCAATTTTTCGATTTCTCAATTTTTTGATGCTTCAGTTTTGGGATTTTTCACTTTTTCGATTTTTCAATTAATCTTCGATTTTTCAGATTTTCGATATTTTAATTTTGGGATTTTCAGTATTTCGATCCTTCAATTTTCCGATTTTTAAAATTTATATTTTCCATTTTTTCGATTTTTAAATTTTAGAGTTTTCAGTTTATTGATGCTTCGATATCTCGATCTTTCGATATTTCGATTTTTCAGTTGTAGATTTTTCAGTTTTCCAATTTCTAGCTTTTTAAAATTTTGGATTTTGGATTTTTTAGTTTTTCGATTTGTAAGTTATAGATTTTTCAATTTTTCGATTTTTTGATGTTTTGATTTCTCGAATTTTCAAAATTTCGATTCCTCAATTTTCGATTTTCAAAATTTTCATTTTTCGATTTCTCGATTTTTCAGTTCTTCGGTATTTCTACATATTTTTCAATTTTTCAGTTTTTTTTTATTTTAGCTTTTGTCACATTTTTGATGTTTCGATTTATATATTTTTCGATTTTGAGCTTTTTGGTTTTTCCATTTTTTGATTTTTAAAATTTTTGATTTTTCGAGATCTGTATGTTTCGATTTTTCAATTGTTCAATTTCTCGATTTTTCGATTTTGGTCTATTTCGATTTCTCAGTTTTTCGGCGTCTCGACTTTTCGATTTCTCGAACTTTTCATGTTCGTTTCTCAATGTTTCAGTTTCTCAATTTTTTTATCGATTTTTTGGTTCTCCGACTTCCCGATTTTTCGACTTTTCGGTTTTTCAGTTCTTCAATTTTTCAGGATTCTGATTTTCCAATTTATAAATTTTTTCAAATTCGCTATTTTTCGATTTAGATTTTTCGACTTCGATTTCTTGATTTTACAATTTTTCGATTTCCCAATTTTTCGACGATTCAGTTTTGGAATTTTTCAATGATTCGATTCTTCAATGTTTCTTGGATTTTTCAGGTTTTCGATATTTCAGTTTTGGTATTTTCAATTTTTCGATCCTCCAATTTTTCCATTTTTCGAATTCTCTATTTATGGATTTTTACTATTTCAATATTTCAATTTTTCAGATTTTTAAATTTCAGGTTTTTCAATTTTTAATGTTTCGATTTCTATATCTTTCAATTTTTCGCTTTTTGGTTCTCAATTTTTCAATTTTTCAATTTTTAAAATGTTTGATTTTTCGTTTTTTTGAATTTTTCGATTTTGGGCCATGTCGATTTTTCAGTTTTTCTCGATCTTTTCATGTTTTGTTTCTCGATGTTTCAGTTTCTCATTTTTTTAATCGATTTTTTGGTTTTTCGACTTCTGGATTTTTCGATTTTTCCGTTTTTTAATTCTTCTATCTTTCGATTTTTCAATTTTTTCTATTTTTTGATATTTTGACTTCTCCAGTTTTCAAATTTTCGATTCCTTAATTTTGGATTTTTTAATTTTTGGATTTTTCAAGATTCTGACTTTCGAAATTTTCAATTTTTCGATTTTTCGACTTGTCGATTTTGTTGATTTTCCAATTTTTTGATCTTTCAGTTTTGGGATTTTCAATTTTTCGATTCTTAAATTTTTCTTCGATTTTTCAGGTTATCGATATTCCAATTTTGGGATTTTCAGTATTTCGATCCTCCAATTTTTGATTTTCGATTTTTAACTTTTCGATTTTTCTATTTCTCGAATGTTACTTTTTCGATATATGTGTCAATTTTTCAATTTGTAAATTATGTATTTTTCAATTTTTCCATTTTCAAATTTTAGATTTTTCGGTTTTCCAATTCCTCAATTTTTAAAATTTTGGATTTTTCGATTTGTAAATTTTAGAATTTCCAATCTTTTCGATTTTTGATGTTTCTATTTCTCTATTTTTCAAATTTTCGATTCCTCAATTTTCGATTTTTAAAATTTTTGATTTTTCGCTTTCTCGATTTTTCAGTACTTCGACATTTCAATTTTTCAGATTTTTAAATTTCAGGTTTTTCAGCTTTTGATGTTTCAATTTCTATATCTTTCGATTTTTCGCTTTTTGGTTTTAGATTTTTCGGTTTTTCGATTTTTCTATTTTTAATATTTTTGATTTTTCGTTTATTTGAATTTTTCTAATTTTCAGGATTCTGATTTTCGAATTTTTCAATTTTTTCAAATTTTCAATTTTTCAATTTAGATTTTTCGACTTGTCAATTTTGTTAGTTTTCCAATTTTTAAATCTTTCAATTCTGGGATTTTTCAGTTTTTCGGTTCTTCAATTTTTCTTCGAGTTTTCCGGTTTTCGATATTTCACTTTTGGGACTTCCAGTATTTCGATCCTTCAATTTTTCAGTTTTCAGATTTTTTGATTTTCCGATTTTTCAATTTTTCGCTTTTTTATTTTCTCGATACCTCAATTTTTCGATTTGTAAATTTAAAATTTTTCAGTTTATTGATGCTTCGATTTCTGTATCCTTCGATTTTTCCCTTTTTGGTTTTAGATTTTTCGGTTTTTCAATTTTTCTATTTTTAATATTATTGATTTTTCGGTTTTTAAATTTTTCTATTTTTCGATTTTGGGCTATTTCGATTTCTCAGATTTTCGGCGTCTCGACTTTTCGATTTCTCGATCTTTTCATGTTTCGTTTCTCGATGTTTAAGTTTGTCATTTTTTTAAATCGATTTTTTGATTCTTTGACTTCTGGATGTTTCGATTTCTCGATCTTTCAGTTTTAGAATTTTTGGTTTTCCAAATTCTCGATTTTTAAGATATTTTGATTTTAAAATTTTTGGTTTCTAGATTTTAAAATCGAGATTTCGATGTTCCGATTTTTGGGTTGTCCAATTACTAGATTTTTGGATTTATCGATTTTTTTTTAAACTTAAATCTTGCAATTTAAAATTTTTAAATTTCCGTTTTCGATTTCTCGATATTTTCATGTTTGGTTTCTCGATGTTTCAGAAATTGAAAGTATAAAGAAAATGGGAAACCGAAAATTGGAAAAATTGAAACAATGAAAACTTGAAGGACTGAAGAATTTTAAAATCGAAAAATGAAAGCGTCCAATAAATGAAAACATTTTAAAATTCAACAATAGGGAAATGGAAAAATTCTAAAATCGTAAAATTAAAAATTATAATTATTATTACGTACTTAAAATGAAAACTAGAAAAATCGAAAAATCGAAAAGTCTCACAATGAAAAAAGAATAGTTATAAAATCAGAAAGTTGAAAACCCGAAAAATGGAAAAAATAAAGAAAATGAAAAACTGAAACGAAAAATTGCAAATCGAAAAATTGAAAAACTGAAAAATTGAAAATTCGAAGAACTGAAAAATCAAAAATTTAAAAATCGAAGGTGGATGTTTTAAAATTGAAACAACAAAAAAATGGAAAATTGAAAAATTGTAGCAACTGAAAATTGGAAAAATAATGAAAATAAAAAACCCAAAGCAAAAATTGCAAATCGAAAATTTGAAGAAACGAAAAATTGACGAAATGAAAAATCGTAAATCGAAAAACTAAAATTTCAAAAAATTAAAATTAAAAAAACAAAAAATTGTAAAATCGCATAAATAAAAAATAAACCTTCGACCAATTTTTTTTCTGACTTATTTTTGACTCACTTGAGTATGCCTGCGAAAAGTGGAATTAAAGCTGGTTTCACAGTTTCCTGCTAGAGTCGCATTTCGTGGCCACCTTGGATCTTGACAGCATAAATATTGATTAAAGTGGGCCCTGAATACCCCACTGACGCAATACAAAGCCACAGGATTGACGCACGAGTTGAGGAAACTGAAAAAGAGGAAATTGTTGCGTAAGTGGTAGTCGAATAAACGGTTGCCTATACTCGTATAATTGGTTGCCTACTCTTCCTTTTTACAAACCGGAAACAGAACATCCTGTTGATCGCCGCTTCTATAAATAAACATAACAAACTCTCAACAAGTTTCGGCACGAATTTGCGATCCATTTTCATAACCTAACCAACTTTCAGAAACTAAAAATTGTTGCCAACTTTGGTATTTTCGAATTGAATTTTGGCCGAACTTTGTGACCTGTCGATATGAAAATAAGGGTGATGGAACGAGGAAGTTTTCTTTTTTACCGGCCCACAAAAAGCGTTGTTCGGAGTGCCTTCCGTGGGAATCGTTTATTTAATACCTCTCCAGTGTATTTTTCGGGGCGAAATAAAGTTTGGAAGGCCAAAAATATCTCAAGCAGGGGTTTTATTGATCTCGTAGGGATATTTTGACTCAAGTTATAGCAAAAAATAAATAATGAATAATGTATTAGAACAATGCTTTCACAATTTCGTTTTCAAGATGACTCGATTAAAATTTTCCGCACTAGTGCGGCAACAGGACAAAAAGTGCGTTCCGCCTAAACCGTAATAATTTATAACCGAAAATCGTCCTTCCCTGGAACGCTTTGCAGGGCTGCTTCCACTCGATTAAAGGACATTAAACACCTCCCTGCCCCGTAATAAAGCCGATTATAATTCCCAACCCCTAAATCCTTTAAAACCGCAACTTCTGCTCCAGGAAAAAATTGTCTCCGGGAAAACTTTTAATTCACTTCAAAATAAAGCCTCGAACGTCCATCACCAACTTTTTCATTATTGCCAACTTACCTCATGCAAAAACCCACGATTTTCGTGGCGTGCCACCAGTCGTTGTATGCGGCGTCTGCATTGGGGTGAAAATAGAACCACAGCATGAAAACGTGGTGCGGAAGAAAGCAGATACAAAACACTGGAAAGAAAAAGGTCGTTATTGGAAAAGTTGTCGGCGGAAAAATGTTTAATCAGATTTAATAATGGGTTGTTTTTTGGCGATATGTTAAAAGCTAACGGCAGCAGCTATAATAATAAAATTTATTGGCGTCGTAAATCCACCAAATTAATTTATGATGGCACTAATCCGTTATTTGTTGCGTCGAGAATGAAGTTATGCTGGGAATTGGGTTAGGTAATTTCGTCGTTTAATAAATCTACGCGATATTCGCTAGGGCTAGATTTAAGGAAAGATTTGTATGTAGTTAATTGTACAAAGAGGGGCATGAACATCAATGAAAATTTAAATGTGTATCGTCGACGTTGTAAGTGCTGTGTAAGTAAATTTCTTGTGATGTCCTCTCAAAGTTTGCTTGTAAAGACCCTCTGAGAAAGATCGTCGGGGCAATGAATGGTTAAAAGGATATGACAAGCAAAAAATGTACTGTTAAGGTAACTTTATGTGTTACACAAAAAGTTTCACGCCAAAAGTTGTTTTAGAATTTAAATATTTTACGTAAATTTGCGTGGAAAGGTAGAATTTATTCTCTACATTGTTATTTTTGTTGGAAACATTTAAGAAACTTTGGTTTACTTAAAAAATTATAATATTTTTATAGAAGTTTAAGGTGCATTGGTTGTTTTAACTGCCGAGTGATTTTTTTAATTTTTGCATTAGTTAGCCATGACGTGGAGGTCAGTAGTGCAATTGAAACCGCTGACGTGGGCGCATGGCCAACTACAACAGAAATTTTAACAAATTGCAGAGAATAGTTTCTTTTGGTATCGCCTGAAACTATGCCCAGTGTAGTTTTCTAATGACGTTATATATTTAGAATTTCTGTGGAGCTTGTTTTTTTGAATTACAATTGTATTTTCAGCGTTTTGGTATTTGTAAATGTTTCGATCAACATTATTTCAGCAAGGACACGTATGTCAATTCCGACAGGTGCAGTGTAATATCAATAATATATAATAATAAAAAAAATCTAGAAATTGAAAAATTCCCAGAATAGAAATTTGAAAAATTGACATATCGAAAACTTAATCGGGAAAATAAATCTAAAAATGGAAAAGTTGAAAAATTTTAAAAATCGAAAAACCGAGATGGCACGAAATAAAACCAAAAATTATGAAATTGGTGATAAATGAAAATTCCAAATTGTAAAATGTAAAATTTAAAAAGTCGAAAAATTTCAAAACCAGTTAGTAAACTGAAAATTTAAAAATTTAAAAATCGATAAATCTAGTGTAAAATAGAAAAATCTAAAATTTAGAAATCGACACTGAAGAATCGATAAATTCAAAAATCGAGAAATTGAAAAATTCCAAAACTGTCTGAAAAATGGAAAAACGTAAAATTAAAAATTGAAACATTGAAATCTCGATAAATCAAGGAATTGAAAAATTGTAAATCGAATAATTTAAAAATAAGTCAACTGAAAAATTAAAAATTTAAAAGTTCGAAAAACTGAAAAAAATATCGAAGAACTAGAAAATCGAAAAATCCACAATTCGTGTGAAAAATAGAAAAATGTAAAAATCTGACTTTAAAAATCGAAACATTTGAAAATGGAAAAGCCGAAACGTCGAAAAATCGAAAAATGGGAAACTGAAAAATTGAAACATTGAGTAACCAAACATCAAAAGATCGAGAAATCGAAAAAGGGAACATTTAAAAATTGAAAATGTGAATTTAAAAATTGAATAACCTAAAAATTGAAACGTCGAAATCTTGATAAATCAATAAATCGAAAAATTGAAAATACGAAAAATTTAACAACGGAAAAATTGAAAAATCGAAAAATACAAAATTAAAACAATCGAAAAATGTACAATTTAAAAAATCGAAAAATTGATAAATAAAAATATGGAAGAACTGATAAACCGAAAATTCCAGAACTCGAGGGAAAGAAAAATTTTAAAATCTAAACTTTAAAAATCAAAAAACTGAAACATGGAAAAATCGGAAAATTGAAAAATCAAAATATTAAAAAATCGAGAAATTGAAAAATTCTAAAATTGAAATTACGAAAAACTGGAAAATTAGAACATCGTTACATCATATAATTGGAAAATTAAACATCAAAAACGCGAAAAGTCGAAAAATCGCAAACTTGGAACTGAAAAATTGAAATATTGAGAAACCAAACATCAAATAAAGACCAAGAAATGATAAATCGAAAATTTAAAAATTGAAAATTTTTAAATTAAAAAGTGAACAACCGAAACATCGAAACTTCGATAAATCAAGAAACTCGAAAAATTTTGAAAATCAAAAAATTTCAAAATCGAAAAACAGAAACGTCGAAAAATACAAAAATTTAAGAACCAAAAAAGTCAAAAATGAAGAAATTGAAAAATTCCAAAATTTAAATGACACAGAGCTGCAAAATCGGACAATTGAAAAATTGGAAAATCAAACATCGAACAGCCAAAAAGTGGAAAATCGAAACCTGGGAAACTGAAAAATTGAAAAATTGAAACATTAAGAAACCAAAGGTCAAAAGATCGAGAAATCGAAAAATCGAAAATTTAAAAATTGAACAATTGAAAAATTTTAAATTACAAATTGAACAACCCAAAAACTGAAACACCGAACACTCCATAAATCAAGAAATCGGAAAATTGAAAACTCGAAAAATTTAAAAAAGGAAAAATTGGAAACACCAAAATTTTAAAAATAGAGAAATTGGAAAACCGAAAAATTTAAAACTTAAAAAGTTGAAAAATCGAAAGTAGAGAAAATGAAGCATCAAAAAACTGAAAAATTGGATAATCGAAAAATCGAAAAATTGGTGAACTGAAAAACTGAAAAGTTGAAAAATCGAGAAGTTGAAGAACCAAAAATCGAGAAACTGAAACATCGAAAAACGAAAAAACGAAAATTTCAAAATTGAACAATTTAAGCTTAAAAATTGAACAATCTAAAAATCGAAACATCGAAATCTTGATAAATCAAGAAATCGAAAAATTGAAAACTTGAAACATTTCAAAATCGAAAAAATAAAAAATGGAAAATTTCAAAAACCAAATAATCCAAAATTATAGAAATCTATTAATTGGAAAACCGAAAAATCTTAATTAAAAGGTCGGAAAATCGGAAAAAGGAGAAATAAAAAAATTAAAATCTAAAATTTAAAAATCTAAAAAATTGAATAATAGAAATATTGAAAAATTGAAAAATCGAGAAATCGAAAAATTTTAAATTTAAAAATTGGACAATTTAAACAATCGAAAAATTGAAAAATTGGGAAATCCACGCTCAATAAATCGAAAAATTACAAAATGTAAAACATAAAAATCGAAGAAACGAAAAACTCAAGCACTGAAATATCGAAAATCCCAAAATTGAAACACGGAAGAAAAATTGAAAAATCTCCAAATTGAAACAGAAAAATTGAGAAATCGAAAAACAAATCGACAAGTCGAAAACTAGAAAATTAACAAAATTGAAAAATTGAAGAATTGAAAAAATGAAAAATCAAAAAGTCGAGAAGTGGAAGAATCAAAAAATAGATAAAAGATTGTGAAATTGAAATATCGAGAAACGAAACATGGAAAGATCGAAAAATGGAAAAGTTGAGAAGTCAAAAAATTGGGAAATCGAAATAGTCCAAAATCGAAAAATTGAGAAGTAGAACATTAAAAAAATCGAAACATGGAAAACCGGAACATCGAAAAACTGAAAAACTGAAACATCGAGAAACAAACATCAAAAGACTGAGAAATCGAGAAATCGAAAAATCGAAAATTTAAAAATTGGACAATCCAAAAATCGAAACGTCAAAACCTCCATAAATCAACAAATCGAAAAATTGAAAACCCGAAAAATTTAAAAATCGAAAAATTGAAAAATCGAAAAATCCAAAACTCCAAGAATCGAGAAATTGGGAAACCGAAAAATCTAAACCTGGAAAGTCGAAAAATCGAAAGATTGAGAAATCGGAACATCAAAAAATTGAAAAATATAAAATTTAAAAATCCGAAAATTGAAAAATCGAGAAATCGAAAAATTTTAAATTACCACGTCGAAATCCATACTTAAAAAATCGAAAAATTGAAAAATATAAAATTTAAAAATCGAAAAATCGAAAAACTGAAGGATGGAAATATTGAAAATCCCAAAATTGAAATATGGAAAAACCGAAACACGGAGGAAAAACTGAAAAATTCTCAAATTGAAACTTTAGAAAATTGGAAAATCAAGAAACCGACAAGCGAAAAATCAAACTCGAAAAATTGAAAATCTAAGAAATTAAAAAATTGAAAAATCTAAAAAGTGAATAATTGAAAAATTGAAAAAACGAAAAATCGAGAAGTTGAACCGAAAAATCTATAAAAACTGAGAAATTGAAACATCGAGAAAGGAAACATGAAAATATTGAGACACCGAAAAGTTGAGAATTCAAAAACCAAAACTTCCAAATCTCGATAAATCGAAAAATCGAAAAATTTAAAAATATAAAATTTAAAAATCGAAAAATCCAAAAACTGAAGGATCGAAATATTGAAATCCCAAGATTAAAATATCGAAAAACCGAAACACGGAAGAAAAATTGAACAATTCTTAAATTAAAACATCGAAAAATCGGAAAATCAAGAAATCGACAAGTGAAAAATCTAGCTAGAAAAATTAAAAATTTAAGAAATTGAAACATCTCAGAAAGGAAACATGAAAAGACTGAGAAATCGAAAATTTGAAAAGTCAAAAAATTGTGAAATCGAAATACCCCAAAATCGAAAAATTCAAAAAATGAAACATCGAGTAAGATCAAAAGACTCGCGAAATTGAAATATCGAAAATTTACAACTTGAACAATTTAATATTAAAAATTACACAATCCAAAGACCGAAACTTCGAAATCTCGATAAATCAAGACACCGAAAAATTGAAAACTCAAAAAATTTAAAAATCGAAAAAAAAGAATAAAAAAAAATTAAAAACCGACAAATGGAAAAATCGAAAAATCCAAAATT